TGCTGCTGTTTGCTGACCGGAAAGTACTCTATAATAGAGAGAGAGCGAGAAATGATGGAAGATGCGGCGTATGGCAGTTTGAATATGTTATTTTTGGGCATGCAAATAAATATAAATAAAAGAATGGCGAATGGGAAATATAAAAGGGGATTTCTCTGGCACATATCAGGGAAATTTTGGATCATTATGGAGCTACGTAGGTGCCAAAGCGGAAGCGGAACTGAATACCAGCAAGCGCAATAATCCAGATCAATAATCAGGAGTCTTTAGCTGTTCCAATCTTTTATTTTATTTTATTATATATTTGTTGGTACAAAAGTTGCAGCCACTAAATAATTATGCCATAGGAATCAGAGCTTGCAGCACTTTCATGGCACATCCAATTAAAGCAAACTTCTGGGCATTGATAAACGTAGAAAAGGATAAGGCATATCTTCTATGGGCTTCGTAAAATTTAGTTTAATTTTTGCTACAAATATTCAACGCAGAACTTCTGCAGTTGCACAATTTAAATTGGATTTTTCATTCAACAAGCAAGCAGCGAGCATGCCACCATCTTTGCTGGTATCTATTGCAGCACTTTGTAGAGCATTTCCACTTCGTTGCCAGACAAAGTTCTGTTCACTTTCTATCAATTTCGGTTTTTTTTTGTTTATTGTTTTTTTGTTGTTGTTGTTGCTATTTTGGCTTTTGTCGTGGAAAATGTTTGGTTATTTCCCTGAACTTTTATTGCTTTGCCGGCACACAAAAATTTGTCACGCCGCTTGGAACAAACTCCCCTTTATGTGTGTACCCCCTCGCTGTGCGGGAAGATGTAATAGATTTTTCCAGCTTAGTTTTTAATAGCACCTTGGCTTAGTGTCTCCCTCCGCCCCCGCGCCAATGTGTGGGTGTTTTTTGATAAATGCATTTCGTTTTGGTATTTTCAGACAAATTTCAATTAAGTTGCGGGCGAAGCAACAACCACCCAGCCACCCCCTTGTGGGCTGTTGGATAACCTTTAACCTTTAACCGATTCGTTACAGTTGCATGGGCGCGCAGCGCACTTTTATGAAATTCTAATGAAGTCTGACAGGAGGATGGCATTCCATGCTTCCATCCCTGCAGCGGCTGATGTCCAGGGGCTGCTGTCCTTTGGCCCCGGCTGCGTTTCATGAACTTTTTCGGGGGGAGCAATAAAGGAACTTCTTTTCGTTTTGGGCCTTTTAATTGCCGCTGCCTGCTGTGACCCCTATGTAGATATATCTATGGCATATATATGGCATATATTGTACATCCTGCTGCATATCGTGGCGCACATTTGGCCGTCTTATTGCTGTAACATTTCGCACGTGACTTTCTGATTTTATGGCTTTTAATTTCACGTATTTAGTTACGGATAATGTTAATTGTATTCGCAGTCACGCCCCACACACACCACACACCACATCCTTGCCGCCCCACATACAGGAGTAGTCCTTTTGTTATATCCCTGGTTGTAGGTTGTAGGGGGTAGCAATTGCCAGGCTTTTCAATTGTGTTCGCAACAATGGGATGATTTGATATATGAAATGATATGATAATGGAGGCATTGCCTCCAGGATTAATCCTCAGCAATTTGATTAGCAATTAGGGATTTTGAGTAGCGATTGCTGCCAGGCATGACTCGATTCGCAGTTGATCTACGAAAAAGTAAATTAATTAAATGGAAATTTGCTGCCTGGCAGGGCACACGCAATTCGATGGACAAAATGTTGTGATTGACATGCAAATTTAATGATGTCAACCGATGATGGCAATAAGGCAGCAGCAGCAAAACAAGGGCCCAGGGCCCAGCCGGGGGGCCAGACTTTAATTATCAAAAGAGCTGCAACAAGAATCATGGGGCGGGCAGGCAGTCAGGCAGTCAGGCAAATGAATAATGATTCGTTTACTGGGCAGGCATTTCCACTCATTGGACAAATAATAATAATATGTAATTTTCCGGTCATTGAAACATTTTGCACAAATAAGGAAATTGACTGGAGCCCTGTCCCTGTCCCTGGCCCTGTCCCTGTCCCTGGCCCTGTCCCTGGCCCTCTACGAGCAGACGAAATGACTTTGACAGCACATGTCCACATGTCTGTACGTGTGTGCCTGTATATGTGTGTGTGTGGCTCAATGTGTGTGTAATGGTCTGTCCAATTCTCTTTCCCATCTTCCTGTGCCTGTCTGTCTGTCTGTGTGCGATGAGTTATGGCTTTGCCAAAGTCTAACTCCATTCGACTCGACTCGACCTGACTCTCTGCCCGCCTGGCCTTTGCCTGCCTGCCCCCCCCCCCCAAAGTAAATCATTTAAATCATTTGAATATTTAAATTAAATCAACTTCAAAATCATCATCACAGCACTCAGACAAATATTGTAGTTTGCGGAAGTGCTCCCACCCATCCCTACCCCCTAAGCCTAATCTTTTCCATTTGAGCCCGCAATCGAAATGAATTTTAAGGCGTTAATTATAATGCGAGACGGCGAACAGTAGATGGGAATGGGGCTGGCAATGGGGCTGGGGCTGGGGCTGGAGTGCGTGTGTATGCAATATAAAATTTGATGGGTAAAAGTTACGAGCTTTGAAGGTGATTCGGAATGCGAGTGGCGGAGGCAGTAAACTTCTACGTCGTATGTGACAGCAACATTAAAATCAGATTGACTTTGGGACACTGTATGGCTTTGATTCTCAAAGATATAGCGCTATATAAGTCAACTAAAGAGCTACAAATGAAGGATAAGCCTGAGAGCGAATTTATACAAATCAATGGGGCAGAAGCCAAAACAAATGCCTCTGAAATGCCGCTCCAAAATCAAAGTTTTGCACGCAAAATATTCTGTATGATAAAACATGCAAAACACATGTCCATGGGACGTCAATCGATGGGCTTTAAATATCCGAAAAAATCAGCTTTATATCCGTCGATGAACTTGAACGAAAATTGCATAAGCAAAACAGCTTGATTGAAATTTTCTCTGTGCGTTTCTTGTGCGACAAACAAAGCCATTAGCAATTTTGAATTTATTTCTTTGTTATTTATTATGCAGAAAAAATCTGCCACACTTGAGATGCGAATGAAATAAATCATTGAAAGCATTCTTGACGGCAATGTCCTCTGACAGTTACTGCATCAGCTGTGCAGCAAATGGTTTGCCGAAACACTTTCCACCAACAACAACAACAACAACATTTCGGTTGACTAATTGAAAGTTCAGACAGGAGTGGAGGCGGCAAGGGGCGCTGCAACATTTGGCAAATGGCAAAACATGACGTAAAACATTTTGACAACAAGTTGAAAACAAACCGAAAACCGAAAGCCGAGAGAAACCGAAGGCACCAGTCAACAGCAGTCAACAGCAGCCAACAGCCAACAGGCAACAGCCAACGGCCGAACAATGAATGGAGGCAACTGTAAGGCGAGAATGTAAAAATGTTTCTTAACAAATTGCACGCGTGTCAAAATTAAAATGAATAAATTTTTTATGACCCGCTCGCAGAAGGCAGCGCAGCACAAAAAAAAGAAAACCAAAAAAAAAAGAGAGACGACGACGCTGAAGGCGATTAAATTTAAAAAATTGTCACAGCGGCGCCTTTTGTCTCTGATTTGAAGTCCAAGTCGAAGCCGAATCTGTATACAAATCCGGATCCGGAGTGTGGGCGGGACGGCTGGTGGTGCTTGTGCTAATGCTGGCGGTGCACTTATTTACGATGTGGTTCGATGCTGACTCTTTGCCGGATAATTAATTAAAAATCGATAAGAATTTGATTTGGATTTAACGGCTGGCTATGCGGCGCACAATGAGAATTATGATGCTTAGTCAGCTGCCCCCAAAGCGGTTTGACAATATTTCTGACATACCCATGACAAAACGGCAACCCGAATCGAGTGCCTCCCCACTCCCCACTCCCCATTACATTTTGCCACTGGAAGGGCAGCTGTTTTTGTTGCTCCTCCAATTTTGCAATTAGCTATAGATTTTTCGTATGTGAATTCCCAGCGGGCTGCACCAAAAATCTACAATTAGTTGGAAACCCATAAATAAATAAATAAATAAATAAAAAGTGGAGCGTCCACCTGATTTGAGTTGATTGCCAATCGAAAATTATTGCAGGCTCATAAATTCTGTGTCTTCGGTGCGCACCAATCGGTGTGCATAGATATCAGTTGGTGGGCATATATATGTAGGTGTTATATAGGTGCTTGAAATGAACTAAATCTGCTGGATATTGAAAGGTAATTCTACTGTAGCTGGAAGCGTTAAAAGTAGGGCATTTAGTGGGGCATATTCCACAATTTTATATATATGTATAATACGATAAAGCTAGAGATAGATCTACCCAACCATCAACTTTTATAGCAGCCATAAATACCTGTGCCCACAATTCTTTTGATTTAATTAACAAATTTATTTGTCTCTGCTTATCCAACCATTTTCATATTAAACGAAGCATCAAATAAGTCAGACGTATTTTTTGTAGATGTTATATTCCATTTGTGGGGGGACTCTACTTAGATATTTCCTGGCTGGTATTATTTTGTCCCTGTTACTGCTGCATAATCTTTCTGCAGGGTATGCCCATAGCTTTGATGATTATCATTATCGCTGCTTCTGTTCATGTTCTGCTGCGCCACCCCGTGGCTGTGTTTCATTTTGCGTTGTTTTTGGTGTTCGATTGGAACGCGTTAATTTATCGTGGTCATAAATTACAATCCCCACACACACACACACAGTGGAAGGTCGCCTGGGGATGGCAAAGGGTTGCCCCCAGAGCTCTCCATTTGGACTTTGTTTTCCCGGCAGCTAATTATTGTAAATTGTGCATTAATCTCGGGCACCAAAGGAATTTCTCGGCACCACAGATTTGGCAATCCGTTTCGTTGGGCGGGCGAATTACGAAAGAGAAGATTTGTATTTTATCCAAGAATATATACGTATGTACGTGTGAGGCAAGAACACACCCGCAGGAAAACAATAAAATAAAGAGCACACTTACCTTTGCACACCTTGCGATGATTTAGCGGCTTGCTGGGGTCCCTGTAGTAGCCCTCCTTGCACAGGTGGCAATTCCGACCCATGGTCGAGTGTCGACAGTTCTGGCAGACGCCACCGGAGACGCCCTGAGAGGCGCGAAAGATTTCCATATTGAAGCGGCACTGTCGCGCGTGATTGTTGCAGTTGCACACTGTAACAGAAAAGAAAAACCAGAAAAAATACAACTTTAGTCAGCGATACAGCCAGGGTGGATCCAGCGTGGATCCAGGGTGGATCCAGAGGGGGGAGAGCTACGATATGTATGCCCAAACCTTAACCGTTAACTGTCCATTTTCAATGTGTTTATCAGTGGCTTTGATATGGCCCTGGCCCAATGCGTTAAATGGAAATAAATGGCACGCAAAATGGAAGGTTGGGGTTGGGGTTGGGGTAGGGGCAGGCGCGAATGATTGGTGCTGGGGGGCGACTGGTCGTTGGGGAGCATCATTTGTCTAGCGGGACATTGGCTTAAGTTGGATAATTTATGCGACGATTTGTTTTGAATTACTTACTTAGGCATCAGCGACTGGCACACAAGGCGTGGCCCAGTCCTGTGTACCCTGTTTTTTTTCTTATTTTTTATAAGGGCTATGTATGCCCGGGCGCTATGTCTGGCATTGCTATTGCTCCTCCCCAATCCTTGGCTCATCCTTCATTCACTGCTCCTACGGCTGGCTTTCACTTCGTTCCTTCTTTGTTCGTTTTTTTTTGTCTGCGCTTCTCCTATTGCTTTCGCATTTTTCACTTCATCTTGGAGTGGAACGAACCTCCAGGGTATGCCACAATCGATGACTCTACGCTTTTGCAATCTTTTACAGCTTTTACAGCATTGAATACCCTTTAGAAAAAAAACTACTGGGCATGGCTCCAGGTAGATTAAACTTAACTAGGAACTGCTAGAAATTATGCAAGTCTCAGGCCACTGCTTTGGATTTTCAAAGAACTAACAAGGAATGCAATTAATTCGCTCGCAAGCTGCAAATTAAAGTTTCAGCTTCGTTTAGCTGAACCTTCTGTAGTCCTGGGATTGCTGTTCATTGCAGGGTATTTGGGCCATCGTTTCATTTATTCTTTGCTTATTTTGTCTTTGTGGGCTGCTGCTTGTTATGCTTTTGGCAAACAGTTTTCCTATTGACATTCGATGGCGACTGCTGCGGTTACTGCTGCCCGTTCCCAAATAGGAATAGCAGCTCCCATATTTGATGGTGGTGGTGGTGGGTGGGGGGCTGCTACACAAGTTGGTAGATGCTAGATGGGGCTCTACAACTGCTGAGTTGGCATCTGCACAGAGAGAGAGAGAGATAGAGAGAGACACAGCAGAGCTGCCTGTCAATGGCAAAGGCCACGATGACTGCTGCCTTGCGGCTAGACAAAAACTTGAACCAACGAGAACGTCTGCCTGTCTCTCTCCGTCTCTCTGTGTCTCCCCGTCTGTCTGTCTGTCTGTCTCCCTGCATTCGACAGTTGTGTCAACCAAACAGAACTCACAACTCACAGCGCAGAGAGCGCAGAGAGCTCAGAGAGCTCAGAGTCAGTGAGTTGAGAACCAGTAGAATGCCAATGCTGAGCACACATGTTATAATTATCTTTCACACATTGCTTCGGGGCAAGGGCCAAGCAATCGGCCAGACAAAGCGACTCTCCACAGTCCCTTCTTGAAGGCCCTAACTGCTTGTTGTGTGTACCCACTTCCTCGCCCCACCCATCCATCCATCCACCCATCCACCCATCCACAGCTGGCGCATGCCAGCCGCAGACAAAGTTATGTCAGCGCAAATATTTGAACAAAGTCAGGCTACTGACTGTCGCAGTTGCAATCGCAATCGGAGTCGTCTCTTCTCCCTCCGAGTATATGCAGAATCGCAGCCAACAAAAGCTAAGCAAATATTTACGGGAAAAAAAGCAGAGCTGCCCGAGAGCACGGCGTGTGGCTAATTGCCCGCCCATCTTTCATTCACAATCTCACCCATGCCTATGCCCTATGCCCCCCCCCCATGGTACGGAAAAGGGTTTAGGCTCTCGCTCGGCGTTAAAAATGCTTGATAATTAATTTTAATGACACACTTACGAACTGCGAATGCAACTTGATTTATGGGTAGATTTTTGGTTTTCGTTCGTTTCGAGGTTTTTTTTTGGTCATGTAAATTTCACTTGGGCGATTACAAAATGCCCATCGAGAGCTCAATCAAATGCGACTTAAAGCGATGCATAAAACTGTTCATTAGCCGGTCCCCAAGCTGCTGCCGTTGCCGCCCGTTCCCACCGCCTTCCCCCCTGTGTTATCCGAGAAAGGTGAGTCCAGTAATTAAGTTCAAATTTGATAAAATACTCACACTCACACAAACACTCGAATGGGTATGGGTATGGATATGGGTTTGGGTTTGGGTATGGGGGAAACAAGACAATGAAATCGTCTCAGTATCGTCTTTGTCTGATGGCGCTGCATCTTTTGGTCGTCAGGGGAGAGTTGGCCATAAAAACGACATTTGTGGAGCCGCTTAAATGTTTCTGTGGTTCATTTGGAACAAAGACCTGGCAGAGCAGCCAGGGGAAAGTTATCCCGAAAAGCACGAAATCTTGATATCCTTGATAATGTTTTTGGTGATCAAAGATCTTGCAGATGGCTCATACTTTGCTGGCTAATTAAGGCCAAATTAATTTAGAGAATATTTGTGTGGCAATCTGCTGGAAGGATCTATGAGGCTTCGGAAGGACGGAACTTTGATGGATCATTAGACTGAGAATGAGACAGTAAAAAAAGGCTCGAAAACTAACGAAAGGAAATGTTTAACGAAAAGAAGAAAATCTCCTAGTTATGAGCAGGCTTAGAATTAAATTCAATGCAGAAATAAAACTTAAATAGTTGAGCATTAAATAAAAAGAAACTTCAACTTTGCCTCGATTTATCTACGGGATTAGCAATTGCATCGACACAAAGCCAAAAGCCCCCATGAGAGCTCATGCAATTGTCTTTTTAATTCATTTATTCTTTAGCCTAAAGGCGCTGCAAATACTGGGTAAAAATAACTAAGGTGCGCAGGGTCAGAAAATCGCGATTTGTGAATTTTTAAAATATTTTTTGTGGGCCCAAGCGAAGCTGCTAACTAAATGTTGTTTCATGCTAATCAGCAGGCGGATTGCAATGCCCCATTGATTGCTGCCTTTTTGCTGTGTGTGTTTTGCGTGCAAGGGGCATTAATTGCCTTAGATACCAGACGATCCCCTGGCCCATGTGTAAGGATCTTACGAGTACACATACACAATAGTCTGGCAGTATGGCAGACGCATGTTTCCGGCTGTGTTGACACACAGTTGAAACTGCTGCAAGCAACGAGCATGAATGGAAACGGGAAAACTCTTTGATATCTGTGCAGGGCACAAGGGAACGGATTTCGTCGGTTTGGCATCTCTAATTAACTGCCACAGAAAGCGAGTTGGAGTTGGGCAAGCATTTTTTTTTTTTTTTATATTATTTCTTGGTTGTGTTGATTGGCCAGGAGCAGATTCGGCTAAGCTCCCCAGCAGCAGCATTCAGCTGTAGCTTCAAAGGCAGTCAGGCAGGCAGGAGCTCCCAGCAGCAGCAGTCAGAGCCATTGATAAATTGTCGGAAAGTGTTCGTTCGCTTTGGCCATGGCCAGAAAGAAAAAACATACCGAAAACACACACACAAACAAAACCAAAAAAACCCGCACCAAAAGCGAACCCTCCCCCCCCGAAACCAAACCAAACCAAAAGCCAATCCAGCGTTACGCTTTTGACTTTGCTCCACGGCATTGCTGTGTGTGTGTGTGCTTTGGATGTACCCTGCCTTTGAGTGGGGCATTACTGCCCAAGAGCAGAAGGCTCCTTAAATTTCGAAAGTCTCTGCCTTCGAATTTTCCTCATTACTTAATTTCGCATAATTAATTTCTACAGCATTTATTTTTCAAGTGTATTTCCAGCATCGGTTTCTGCGTGTTTGGTTGCATTTCTCTCTTGTATGTTTTTGCCACTGCTTTGTTGTGGGGCTGTGGGGGCTGTGGGGGCTGTGGGGCTTTTCCTTGTCCATGTCCTGCCAGAGCGTTTTCAATTTTCCTCCGCTGCTCTGTGTCGGTCGACATTTCATCGTTTTATGATTGATTGCGTTCGCCTCGCCTCGCCCGCCTCGCCTTGCAGTGATTTTGCAGTTACCCCCCCGAAAATTGTGAATTGAATTCGTGCTGTCCATGCGAGTAGGATTTTTTGGGTAGCAGGGGGGGCTGGGGGGGTGTGTTGCTGTTGCTTTTGTCGGTGGTGCGATTGCGGTTGCGGTGGGGCTGTGCCTGGGCTCTTGGCGGTTTTTCCCCACTGCAATTTGACAATTTCATCGCAAAATTGTTTTGGTGTTTGTGGCAATGTTCTGGCGCTCTGCTGCTCTGCTGCTCGGCTCGGCTGCTCTGGCATGTGTGTTCGGCTCTGTGATTTATCAAAAGTGGTTGCCCATCGCTCTTTACGTGCATTTCGTGGTAATTAATAATTTTAATTTGATTTTTTTCGGTTTTTTTTATTTGATTTGATTTCCCTACCAAAAGTGAGAACAAAGCGCAGTCACACTCCGCATCATTATGTCATCAGTGTCTTTATTTTTTTTTTTTGTGTGTGATCTTTTGAGTGTTCGTTGCACGCTTCGCGGAATCAGCACACGCTTTGAACTATTTGTATTGTTTTGTATTGTGTATTGCTCTCTCTCTCCGAATCGGTTAGTATTTATAAACATTTTCATCGTAAATGCCCCCGGTCCGACAGTCGTAAACAGCCGCCAACTTTCGTTAAAAATTGTTTGCACTTTCTTCGCTGGAAGCGCTCACAATACCCAGAAATCATCATCATCATCATCATCCTCCACATCCACATCCACATCCACTCGCCAGCCAAAACATTCAACAATTCTCAACATCTAACATTCAAGCAAAGAGGCATTAGATCAGCCCCTGGGCAATCTCTGTGGCTGCTGCCCAACCCTACCATACCCTACCCTGTACCCTACCCTACCCTACCCTACTATTATCAGCTCTTTTGGCCTGATGTAGCAATTAACTTGTTAAGTTTTTGCATCCCCAGGCGCATCGTCTGTCGTCTGTCTGTCTGTCACCTACTCCGATGTTAATTGAGCATTTGAAATGCGCGATTATG